GCTCGTTTGACTTATCTTTTCTATGAATATTGAAAATGATTAAACAAACATGAAGCTCTCACTTTGCTTTACAACATGCTTTTTGAATCCCCTTGAATCCCACGGTGATCGTTGACCAGTCAAAATAGTCAATAATGTGTGATATAATCATTTTGATTATGATTATCCATACACATTATTCGACTATTTTGACTGGTCAGCGATCACGGGACCGCGGCATTTTTTCGCATGACTGTTTAACTTATATATATATAGTTTGATTATGTTACTGTTATCTATGATCTCATACGTATCTAATTTAAGAGACGGATATCGCATTTATTTTTCTTACTCGTTTTTTTTTATATTTTTTTTAATATGCTTATATGCGTTAATGAATCAATTATGGATATTAATTTCCAAGACGAAGAATCATTTATGAATTATTTTAAACACCAAGTCATAGGATCGGGTAGTGACGCCAATGCAGTTGGGCGTAATTTTGCATGTGCACATGCAATCTAATCATTTAAACAATATTAAAAAAAAAACTATGTTCAATCCTGTTCAAACCTTAACCGATTTGACCGGGTTACATATTAGGAACTCAGTTTACCGTTTTGATTCGGTTCATCGAGGTTGTGCAACCGGTTCGGAACACTAGTACTGTAGTAAAAAAATATATCTTTTATAAATTTATTGATTAATGCCTCTTTATTCTGAATTTTTATTTATCTATTTTTGTAATTGGTACTGTACTAAATACAATTTATTTACTAATATTTAAAGAAAAAAGAATTCATTATGTATTACAACATATTAGAAAACCCGATTAATTTTACTCTATCAAAGTTTTTATAAACTTCACTTGGTTTAAATTATATTTATATAATCACAATTTCAAATACAAAAAAGGTATTATTATCATTCTATAATAAAGAAAAAAAAGCTAATATATATAATAAAATATTCTATATACCAAAGTTGTAAAAATAATAAATTAATATAATGTCCATCTATATAAGTTACCATAACTGAAGTTTTGTTTTAAAATTTTTATTCTCTCTCGCCTCCCAATAACCACCTTTATAAACCCACTCTTCACCTTCTAATTTAAACCATTGTGGAACCCACGTTTCTCCTCTTTCCTCAAGCAACTTTCTATATTCTCTTTGCTTTTGTTCTAATCGAAGTTTTTCAGCTTCTGCTTTTTCAACTTCACCATTCTCAAAAAGTCTTTGATCTGGTCTAAATCTGGTATCAGTACTTGGTAAATGTCCATCAAGATCCGGTGTTAATTCATTTAATTCTATACAAAATTGAGTAAATCCATAATATTGTTCATAATCTGATATTGGAGGATGTGCTTTCCAGATTACTTCTAATTGATTTGGACCTTTTTCATGACATATTATTTCATTCCATTTACCAACAAGCCTTCCAGATTTTTCACCCTTTGCTGAAAATAATATTCCAACTATATCACTATTTGGAACTCTACTCCACATTCCACTTTGATTAAATGTAATTTCACAAGCTTCACCCGTTGATCTATTTTCTATTCGCATCACTCCAGCATGTTCAAAATATTTTGTCCCGGATATCATATTACGTACCCATGTTGAAGGTTTTGAAAATGTAAAATGATCATTGTATTTTGGTATAGTTATGTGTATTGTACCGATTGGTATGAGCTCCTATTATTTTTCGAAAAAATTGTTACGTGCTATTTTTGTGATGAATTATGGTGCAAGGCATCTATACACGACAATAATTTCAAAATGCTAAAACTTTTTACTCAGACAATATTTTTAAGATCTGACCGGCAACTTTGTTCTTCATAATGAGCTCTACAAAGTTACCGGTCAGATTTTAAAATAATGCTTCGTAAAAAGTTTTAGCATTTAAAGTTCGTTTAAAGTTTATTTTATATATAAATCTTAATATTTTAATATCAATTTCAAACTGCTAAAACTTCATATACAAAAGGTTTTTCAAAAAACTGGCCGGTAATTTTATAGAGCTTATATAGCTCTATAAATTACCGAGTTTTTTTATAAAACCTCTTGTATATGAAGTTTTGGAGTTTAAAAAATCGAAACAAGTCACGTGATTGTCGAGTATAGATGTCTTGCACCATGTAAAATTTTTATACATACCATCGATTTACCTAATAAACATATATTTTGTTTAAATATGAAGATTAGTATATTGTATAATAGAAAAAGAATGTTATTTACCCCAAAATTTGCTTTTCACTTTCGAATCTTGCCAATAACTCCAATTTAAAGAATCTGCATGACACTATATAATTTTTAAAAAGTCAAATAAAAAATTTTTTTGAAACAATAAAATAAACTTCAAAAATATGCAAGATTACTTACAGCCATTATTGGTGGATGGTGACTAACTTTTTCGGAAATAAGCCTAAAACCTATTTGTCAACGATAATAATTTGAATTATGATACTTGATGTCTTAGAATCAGCTGCATCAAAATGTAACTTTTATACCTTTATCTGGTCGAACGCACTCGTATGTTTCGCCATGAAGTGGATTAAAAGGTTTCCTACCAGTCCTAAAATAAGTAGATGCATACCCTGACACAGCGAATGCAGCTACATATATTAATCTTTCCATTGAATTTTTTAAACTCGCAGCTTTATCTAATAATTCACTATATTCTAATCCTTCAGCCATATTTTGTAAAATATTTATTGGCTCATTTAAAGAAATTGGCATTGAAACAGTTGATAAGTCTTTACCAACATTTTTTCTTAAAATAGCAAGCAAACTAACATCTTCACCACAAATTGGAGCAGGAAGAACTTTTCTTCTTTGTATTATCATTGGTTGACTATCACTAGAATCATTTACAATAGTGGGTTTATCATACATCCCATCTGAGACTGGTTGAATAAATGCAGGACTAGAATCACTTTCTTCATCACTGATATTGGCGTTATTTATATCCATATCACTTTCAGTTGCAGATAAATCTTCGGTTAAGTCAATATCTTCAGCATCAAAAAATAATTCAGAGTGAGTATTTATAGTGCTCATAGACATTGATCTTGTTTTATTAATGCCATTAATATTATCCGATATTTCATAATTTATATCATTAGGTCCATGCTCTAGCCTTTCGTCAAAACTATCATTTTTAACATGAGACTCATTTAAACCAACATTTTCGGCAGCAAGTTTACGATAAGCACGATCGATCAATTTCCATTTTTCAATTTCAACACGTAACAAATTAAAAGCTTGGTCCTTTTCTTTTTTTAAAGTTGTGACATTCATAGATAATTTATCATAAATTTGGTCTAATGTCATTTGCATTGGGACAGGAGATGGTGGTTTGATTGTCTCTGATTGAGGAGTAGTTATACCTAAAAATAATATCAAAATTATACATTAAATATTAATATATTTAATATAATTTTAATTGTCGCGGCTGAAGTTGGAAATGGCTGAAGCTGGAAATTTTAATTATTTTAATATGAAATTTTCAAAAGTTTTTTGGGCCTTTTGTAGGTGTTTTTTTAGGGTTAGGTTAGGGTTTAGGAGTAGGTTTAATAATAAAAGAATACAAGTGGATTATGGTAGGGTTTATATTTTCAAATCAAGGTCCCTAATTTCCAGCTCCAGCCGCGACATTAATTATTATTATTATTATTCCACGTTTCTATATGATCGCATGACAGGTTTACAACTTATAATCACTACTTTAATCAGTAAAAAAACCGAGTATCTAGCAATGTTTGTTATTTCCCGGACTTCCGGGGAAATGACAAGGAAATAACAAACATTGCTAGAAACTCGATTTTTTTATTGATTAAAGTAGTGATTATGAGTCGTAAAGCCCGTCATGACATCATATAAAAACGAAGAATAATACCTTATTTCACCGCTACGGGAAATAACCCGGTAGATCTTCGGCCTGCTAGGGGCCTTTCGGGCCCCCAGATGACCAGGATTTACCTCTTATTCCCGCCGTTGCAGGAAATAAATAGTACTTATTACCTCGTTGCAAAGATAGAGTAAATTTTTTGCGTGATTTTCCTTCATTATTTGGACTTGGTTGAGGTTGATTTAAATTATTATTATTAAGAATTAAACCTTCGATGGTATTTTTAAGAACATCTAAATTTTCTTTAATAGTATTAAATTCATTGTCCATGTTATTAAATACACCATAAATTTTTCCAAGATCTTCATCTAAATTATATTGATCACTTGTTTTATTTAAACTTTGTCGTCTTTCTAGTAAGCCTTGTCGTTTAAAGTATAAGCTTTGGAGTCTTTCCATTTCACCAGGTTGTTGGTAAAATGATGCCCTATGATATTCAGAATCATTAAATTGTTTTTCATTAGAATGATTCACGTATTTACGAATAACCGTCATCCAAGCATCAAATTCATCATTTGTTAATGCCTTTAAATGATAAGTTGCAGTTCCAGAATCCAAATGTATTGAACGATAAGATTGATTAGAAGCAACAGTTGAAAGAACAATATGTATTTTCCCTCGACATGGACTATGGGGATGTTGGTAATATGAAAGAACCCCATTGTCAATTTCAACCCAACGTTTCGCCCAACCTGTATAATAATAATTAGATATTAGGAATATTACATATATATGTGTATAAATATTATTAATATAGAAGGATATTTAATTCAACCTTGCATTTTTTTCCTCTTCTTTTTTAATAGCCAGCCGGATATTTCAGGTTCATTTTGATCTTCTTCAATATCTATAATCAAATATCGCAATTAATGACGATAACAAAATATGACATGATTTACAATTTACGTACCATCTTTTAGAGCAACAAAAAATGTTAAAGATTTGGAGGTATTACGAGAAAAAGAATTATCTTTTTTTTAAAAAAATAATAAAAATAAAATAAAAATAAAGATAAAAAAGTAAAATAAATTAAATTAAATTAGAAATATAATTCAAATGTCATAAGTCAACAAATAATTGAACGAACATATATTACCAAAACATAAACAATATGTTCCTTCTTCAGTTGCTTTATAACTGCCTTTAATTGTAGTGGTAGCAGAATTGTAATGTTCAATGGGTAATATTTCTTTTAAACTTGGATCCTTAGCAATTTGGGCCGATACGGATTTCTTGCGTCCTCTACTTTGTAGACTATTTAAAGTAGAATTCGTATCATCCTCATTTATATCATCATTTTCTTCAGTCTGACAAGTATCTATAGAATTTCTACTTTTAAGGCTAGATGCTAAACTTTTTGATGAAGGTCTATGTTCTGAGATTGGAGTCTTTGTGGGAGATATTTGACCAGTTAAGTTTACGTCTTGATAAGCTTCCGCAGCATTTGGAGCCGCGATAAAGACGTTTCTAGGAGTCACGATATGATCTTTTCTCTGAAATAAGCCAAAAGAAATATTTTTCTTTTTAGTAGAAAACCACCATAAAATGACTTTTCCCTTTGGAACATTAAGGTAATGGATATAAACATCTCGTGGAAGAATTTCGACCTCTTGCATTTTAGAAATAATCAATTGAAAATTTACTGCATGCAGTCCTTGATTTTATTTATTTATAAAATGCAGTGTAACTCCATTCAAACCCAGCACATTCCGAAAAAATTACGTATATGTAAAAATCAATGAATTCAGAATTTCTTAATGCAGATCGAAATAGTTTACTGTGATTACCATGTTAGGATGGGCTAACAATATAATGAGTATTAATATATTAAGCATAGCTCGATAATAGACTGGGTATGTAGATGATCCATCGACTGTTCTGGAGTAAATATTCCAAAGATTAACTGTTAAGCAAACGGATAACAGAAAAGCTCGTGTTTAATAATAGTTAACCACAAGAAGTTTATCAGTTCGGATTTGTTTGTTTTATTATTAATAATTTAATTTTTTTTAAGTTAATAACCATCCTTTCCGTCTGTGTTCCACGAAATTATAAAATAAAGAAAAATTAACAATGAATAAGTCGAAGATAGTGACTAATTCAAAATATTTAGGTAGCACTAAAGTCATCTAATAAAGTAAAATATTCCGATAATTGGGTAGAAAAAAAATCATCACGTGCAAACGTTTGCCTTTCAAATAAAAGCGCGTTTCTTTTTTGTCAGTTATAGTTAAATTTAATAAAACTAAGCAAATAGCTGATTTCTTGGAGCATTGATCAAACCTGGACGTAAACTGAAATCACTACTTCATAAAAGAAAAATTTGCAACTATGCAAATAAGTAAATATATTAACATTCGACTGAGCTACGCGAATCTCGATACAAGGATCATTGATTAAACCAGAGCAGAAATGATGATTTTGTACGTTTCACACCACAGAATTTTTTTTGATAAAACAGAAGTTGACCTCAATTACCATATGATACGTACAAAATTCAAAAAAAAATCAGAATTAATCGATATAGTAATTAAAAAGTACACAAGATTGGCACTATTCCTACATACGTACAGAAACACAAACACAGGATCTACAGAATCGCACAGAATTAACCACATGCAGAATTTAGTCTTAACGATGCAGAAAATCATCATCCCTGAACCAAAAATAGTTAACTGTGGTTATCATTACCAATCATCTTGCACATATGTGCGTACGGCGCAGTGTTGTACATTTTGGATTGTCCGAGCCTTTTTGGCTGTCCGCGGGACAGTCCGACAACTCTCATAATAGAACTATCCTAAAATGCACACATATATATATGTTGCAAAAGTTAACTATTAAAAGCAGGCCATACGTAACCGTACCAGTGCACACTGGACAGTTTAAAAATAATTAGGTAAAAGGGACTAAACTTTTATGATTCGGTACAAAAAAAATATACAGTTGGGCACAAAAAAATGATCATACCCGGCAATTTTTCTCCATATTTCAACGCCTAGATGATTTACTAGGAATCTCCACGCAATATTTGTTCAACTGATACTTTTTTCTATACCGTACATACTAGTCTAGGTGAAACGATGTTGAAAAATGCGACAGTTTTCATTATTCTATATAAATAAATTCAGCAAGTTCATTACATCATTAAAAACTACAAGCTTTAGCCACACAAGTTTGCATCAAAAAATCCTATTGCTACAGTACCGGACAGCTACTCGATACATATAGAACACCAATTATATAATCGATTCTGATTGGCTAATTTTGATGCATTGATTTTAATAATATATATTTTCTTTATATTAAACGTCAATTTTTTAAAATTTTAACTCTTTTTAAAACAAAAAATAATAAAAAAGTCCTCTGACAGAAATGTAGTTTAGCTAAAAATCTATCAATTTGTCGAAGGATTTTTTGATTTAACTTGTAAAAAAGTTAGCGTTAGAATTATTTAAAGTTTTTATTAATAAAGCGTTTGATGTCCGGTATTGTATAAAAATATTTAGAGTATTGCCAATCTTGAAAATCCGCACATCCGTTAGTCAATTTTATTTTTATTTTATATACTGTATTTGAGAATAACTACGATAAGAGTTTCGTATTCGGCGAATGATTATCTAAAGAATAATGCGAATAAATAAAATCTATTCGAATAATTTTATTATTAAATAAATAGTACTTATCCGAATAATATTAGTCACTCGACGAATATTCAAGTAGATATTTGCTAATCTAATTATTCAGATAAGGAATCAGTAAACGGCAGGATTGGCTAAAATTTTACTGTCAATTCCGGCCGGAATTACGTAAACAATTATGTAATGCGAGCCAAATTTTTTTTGTAGATCACGGCCGCTAGCCAGTCAAAGAAGAATCTGCAGCTAGGATATACAATTAAAACAGGGTGGACCCTTTTATCCAATCAAAATTTATTTTAAGGGTAAGGCTTAGAGTTAGAGTAAGATTTATAGTTTAGATTAGGGTTAGAGCTAGAGTTTTTTTATATTATAATCTTATATAATATATTTTTATATTGTTTAGCTATACTAAAAAAAATCTTGTAAAAATTTATATATATATAAAATTAGATATATATCAACTTATTTGATTTATAAGTAATGTTCTACAGTAAGCTTTTATATAGACATGTTCTATAACTAATATACTGTATATACAAGGCAAATTTTTGTATAATTTATAAACCAAAAATTTATTATTTATACCATTATATTTCTCTAAAATAAGCACCCTCTTGAAGCAATTTTTGTAGCCAAAATTTTTGTAATATAATGATTAGATCTGTATAATTTTAGTACTATTTAAATTAATTTATCAAAATAATTCAAATAATACCAACTTTAATTATTAATTGATGATTCGCCACTCAACAGATGCATGATCTTAGTAAAATGTAACTCAGATTACTATATAAATTTACTATATTGCGAATATGCGATCGCACAAGGTAAACTTTTTTTTGTACTAAGGTAATTATCTTTCTTGCTTAAGAGACTTTTGTAAAGCTTGTCAAGACGCATCTAATGGTGGTTAGAGCGTCAAAATCGGCTTGGTG